ATATATACACACACACACACACACACATATATATATATACACATACATACACACACATATATATATATATACACACACAAACAAGAGGTTTTGTAGGCAAACATTAATGCCTTGAATTTAATGCGAGCAGCTTCTTCACAAAGTGTGGGAATTTTCTCATGCCTTGTCCAAATACCCACACTTGAGGTCTTTGCACTTGACCACTTGACTACTTATATGACGTATTTCCTGTATTTGGCCCACGTGTTCAAGTGAGCATGAAGACCACAAGTGTGTGTCGAACTTTTCATTACCTGATGGGATTGGAAAGATTTCCGTGACCTCTCGCGAGATCTCGGCAAAAAGTTTTACGATTTATTCCTAGAACATGATGCATGATGGGATACACTAAGCCTGGAATACCGCTCCGGAGCGGTATTTGAGATAGTGTGGATTTAGTGTGCGTTAAGGGCACTGCGCTTTGCCGTTTTTCGGCAAATGCTTTTCCTCTCCCATTATTAGCATTAACTCTTTTTCGCACAAGTCAAAAACAATCTCAAGCGAGCATAAAAACTTTTTTTGCGAATTAAGGGATTTCCCCCCAAAAATTTGGCATTTCCATCACTCGTTTCTGATGCGATACTTCAAAATGTGCATAAAAACAGGGTGATGAAAACATAGCTACTGTATTTCTATCTCCTCACAGCCTCGTTTTTATTCTTGTCAAAAATTAAACATGGCGCTACCCTGAATAAGGTCTGTGCTATATTTCTGATTCCTACTAAGTAGAGTCCTTTTTATCTACTTTTTGCAATATTCAGGAGGCAGTGTAGTGTGGAGTTCACTACAGGTGTATAATAATGAAGAGGGGTTGAATTACATAACACCAAATCTCATTTGTATAGCAAAAACGCACTGCAGATCTTATATGACCACATGACCGTGTCTGAGAAAGACTCTTGCCTCTAAACCCTTACAGGGCTCTTGTGAGATTCTGCACTTTGACAAGCTTCATCAAATGCATAAGATACAGATTCTGATGACTTTAGCAAGAGTCCATATGAGAAATCACATCCTCTTTATGTTATCTCTCGTCCTTCCCTGTTCTCGTGAAATTGCAGTCAGCGACACGGAGAACACTTTGTCACTGAATCCTGGATAAAGTGCAGACATTGCAATCTCGTTCAAATCAGAGAGAGAACCTGAGAGAGTCTACTGTGGTACTCACAGAGGAAAAAAATCTCTGCCCTTCATTCACTTTCGACAAGCATTTGGAAAACAATCACAAATGCACTTGACTTTAAGGCAAGTGATTTGACAGCGCTTGTGAAGTCACTGGGTCAGTCGGGCTACTCCATCACAGACCAAATTACAATCCATTTCACATTTCCCCTTTGCCTAAACAGCCTGGCACTTCCAAGAATTCTTTCCCAAGCTGTATTCCAAGCTGTTCCCAATGTTAATGTTTATAATGTCTAAAGGAAGAGTTTGTTTCTTCATCTGAACAGATTTGGAGAAATTTAGCATTATATCACTTGCTCACCAGTGGATACTCTGCAGTGAATGGGTGCCGTCAGAATGAGAGTTTAAACAGCTGATAAAAACATCACAATAATCCACACGTAATTCACACCACTCAGTCGATTAACATCTTGTGAATCGAAAAGCTGTTTGTAAGAAACAAATCCACCATTAAGACATTTTTAACTGTTGCTTCCAACTAAATAAAATGAGTCCTCTACCCATAAAATTGCTTTCTCCAGTGAAATATGTATACACATCAAGCACCATTTGCAAGCCAAAGCAGTCCAAAACAGTTCTAAACAAATATGTTGGTAGATTTTGATGTGAGAATACAACATTGACTTTTTCCAATGGAGGAAGCACTATTATGACTGGATTGTGGATTACTTGTGGATTATTGTGATGTTTTCATCAGCTGCCTGGACTTTCATTCTGATGGCAGAGGATCCATTGGTGAGCAACTGATGTAATGCTACATTTCTGCAAATCTGTTCTGATGAAGAAACAAACTACTATCTTGGATGACCTGAGAGTGAGTACCTTTTCAGTAGATTTTAATTTTTGGGTGAACTTCATACCTTGTAGTTGCATTTATCAGATTACAGCTGGGCGATAATATAGTTTACATTTTGTGACAATACAAGCAATCAAGCAGTTGACATATGCTATACATCACTTTATGTGAGTAGAGTGTATGTACGCAGACTACGCAGGTAAAAGTTTTTACTACTGTAAGCTACAGCTTTTAATGTATGTGAATAGAGTGCTGCAGTTGTGACGTCAAAACCCAGAAGACTAATTCGTCTTGAGTTCCCTTGAGATTTTTTCTATGGGTTTTTATAGTGGTTTTTCAATCCATGAATAAAATATGGTCTGTGTTAAACTGCACACACTCACACCCCAAACGGTCTTGTGCATTTACTTATTACAAACATATGTTTTCAAAAATAAACATAACTACTTAAAAAAATTCATGTTTTCAGTATGGGTGTGTGTAATTTACTTTGCAAAACGTCCAAGTATCATTAATTTAGATTTACCACAGATCTTGTTTTACTAATAAATTGAAAAGTTCCATTATAAAAACCATTGGAAAATCTTGACAGATTTTGATGTCATGGCTGCAGCAGTTTATAAAGTTTTATATATATTTATCTTTGCATGAGTTGTAGTTTATGTAGGCAGGTAAAGATTGAACTATATGTGCAACTTTTAATATATCACTGGTCGATAATATAGTTCACAGTGTTCAACCCATATAAATTTTTTTTAATACAAGAAAACCATTAGGAACTGTTTGGGTGCATCCAATCCATTTAAATGAGGGTTAAAAATTTCCTTATTTGTCAATGCATATCAACCTGCCCTAGTGAAAAAAAAATATGCTAAGTATACTTGCAGCCAGACTAAATGCAAATAAATATGCTTATAAAAAATTAACAGAACTTTCAATTCAAGTATATTTTTGTAAAATATATATTTTTAGAAAATATACTAAATTACTATTGTTTTAAAGTGTGTTAAAAGTTGTATTGTGAAAATAGACAAAAGCATGATGCTAATATACTTTTTATATATTTAAAAATAGTAAATTTTTTGTTAGTATATTTGCAATGTACTATTAAAACAGGTAATATATTACAAATACAATAAAGTATACTTTTTTTTTCACTAGGGTGTGTCAATGTGTTGCCAAAGGGCAATCCATTTCAGCACAGATGTCAAAGACATGGCAGCTATAAAACCCCCCGGATTATTACCCAGAGTTAGTTAGGAGAGATGGGTAAGCCAATGGATGTGAGAGAAAGAGTACGTGAAAGTGGCTCAGAGGCCTAAAAAAGGTTGTAGGAGGCAGAGAAAAGAAAAGAGAAAGTGGGGGAGGTAGAAGAAAGTCAGGAGGCAGGATAGTATCAACAATGAGAGAAACAGAGGAAAAAATACACCTTAATACATTTGGGTGCAAATGAGCAGCATTTTATTAGAAATACACGTCCGGAATAGTAGGACTAATCCACATGAATGGGGCTTTTGCATTGATAAATAACTCTAGCACACAGCAGCTCTTCATTTCTTCTTTACTACTGCTGCTGCCTCAGCGGCTGCTGCCTCGGCTTCTGCCTTCAGTCTCTCCTCACGCTCTCGGAGAAACTCCCCGTACTCTTCTGGTGACAGGCTGACAGAGGGATGACAGGAGAGGAGAGGGGGAGCATCGTGAGAGTGACAGAGGAGGGAACAGACAAAGAAGACGGAGATTAGAGGCATATCAACAGATACATCTACATTACATTAGAATTTCAAACATTTCTAGAGATCGATTGAAATGCAAGGCGAGCATTGCTCTTCCCTCATGCACAAATGATGGGTCTGGGCATTTATGCCTCAGTGACATGGTTCATTTATTAAAGAGGTTTGGTTTAAGAAAAGACAAGACTCTGCTAACAGAACAGGCTGCTTTTTTTGCCTGTCTAAATGTTGCCAAGTTTCAATGGCTCAATGACATTTGATGTCACAGAGACTGAGGATAGAAAAGGCTCTGGTAGCTGTCAAGCACACACACCTCTAATGAATATTCTCAATAAATATACTAGCAGCATCCCTTACAATTTCTCAGCGTTATTAAGGCATTAATTATACAAAACATGAATTTTATGATTCATTTTTAAAAGGCTGCATATCAAGCTCAATTCTCAACTGTGAGAAATGGCATAAAATTCCAAATGAGCACAAGAAATTAAGTCATTATCGGTGAGCATGTGAAGTAAGACTTGATTTATTCAGCCATTATTTATTCACATCTCTTATTAAGGTCTTTAGGTGGTGGGATGCCTGCAATATTTATACAAGGAAAAGATGGATGCTTAAAACTCACAGTAGAGACCAGACATGCAGAAAACACAAAAGAAAGTGTAAATGCTTGAAAATAGTTATGTATATAAATCATTCCCACGCATGTATTTTTGTCATAAAACAAAAATTTTAATTAGATTTGTTTTTAAAGAGATATACTATTTACCATTCAAAAATCTGGAATTGGTAAGATTTTTTATGTTTTTGAAAGAAGTCTTACCAAGGCTGCACTATTGTTTACCAAGGTTATATTTATTTGATCAAAAGTACAGTAATATCATTACAATTTAAAATAACCGTTTCTATTGTAATGTATTTTACGTTTTTAATAAATGTAATTTATTCCTATGATGCAAAGCTGAATTTCCAGCATCATTACTCCAGAAATCATTCTAATATACTAATATGCTGCTCAATAAATATTTCTTATTATCAATCCTTCAATCAATTCTTTTATTATCATCACTGTGTAATGTTTTTTTATGAAAACTGTAACAAAACTAACAGTGTCTTGACCATCACTTTTAATCAACTTAATACATCCTTGATTAATTAAATGATTAATTTCTTTAAAAAAATTACTGATCACTTTTGGTAGTGTTTGTGTATATATATATATACATAGAGAGAGAGAGAGAACATTTTTGGCTATTACATAATTATTTCATTTTTTTTTTTATTATTCTGTAAAAATGGTAAGAATGAGTTGGTGTATCCAAACATTTGATTAAGTATTGTATGTTGTGAGGAATGCAGTAGAATGAAGTTTGAAGGACTCTCACTCATTGACGACTTTGATACCGAGGGATCTGGCTGAACCGATGATGCACTTGACAACGTTCAGCATAGAGGTGTCTCGCAGCTTAATGCTGTCATCCTGTGATTTGACCAGTGCAATCTCATATACGGCCCTCACCGTCACCATACCTGCGATCTCATGCCCTGAGTGGAGGAACAAGGCGGGAGGGGAAAGAGAGGGGTGATGAAACACAGTAGCACAGAAAGAGAAACCAGCAGGAGGTATGGTTGGTCATGATTGAGAAAAATGGAAGTGGAGATGGAGTGAAGGGAAGAAGTAACGGAAAGAGAGGGGAAGGGGAAAGAGTGGGCGCATAAGAAAGAATAATTGAGGTGGAGTGAAACGTACAAAAATGAAGCAAATCCATAATTCTCTTTTTTTAACATGCCACCTTCACCGCAGCGCTCCCCTTAGTAATTGCCTAGCTCTCTACCAGGGCAGCTCATCATCAATATATCATCAGTCAAAAAATTCAATCTGAACCAAAACACCCTGCAGGGGGAAGTCTGTCCATTACTGAAACATAAGGTGGTGGCGAGATTTACAAATAGACTGCTGAGAGATGGAAGGAAGGATGTATGGCCACTGCTGCACTGGCTTTAATAGGTCTTGCTTACCAGTCTTTCCGGCTCCTTTTTCAATGCCGGCGGCCTGTTTCAAAAAGTAAGACACAGTGGGCTGCCCAATTTTCAGGTCATACGTCCTGTCCGACTGGAGGAAAGAAAAAAGGGGTCATTTTGGAGCCAGGTGGATTAAAAATAAATAAAAATACAAAGATTTGGGGTCAGTAAGATTTTTTTTCATGTTTTTAAAACTTCTTACGCTCACCAAGGCTGCAGTTATTTGACCAAAAATGCAGTAGAAGCCATAATATGAAATATGAAATATTATTACATTTTAAAACAACTATTTTCAGTTTGAATATATTTTAAAATGCAATTTATTCCTGTGATGGCAAAGCTGAATTTTCAGCAGCCGTTTCTCCAGTCTTCAGTGTCATATGATCCTTCAGAATTTATTCTAATATGCTGATTTGGTGTCCAGTTATTATCAATTATTATTGGTGCTCAGATATTATTAATGGTTCTTATTATCATCAATGCTGAAAACAGTTGTGCTGCTTAATATTTCTGTAGAAACTGATACATTTTTCAGGATTCTTTGATGAATAGAAAGTTCAAAAGAACAGCATTTATTTGAAATCTGTAACATTATAAATGTCTTTACTGTCACTTTCGATCAGTTTAACGTGTTATAAATAAAAGTATTAATTTATTTGTTTAAAAAATCTTACTGAACTTAAACCTTTGAATGGTAGAGTATATATTTGTATCTTTGGCAAATTACGTTTGTCTAAAATGCTGTGACATAAATTTCCTATTCTAGTCTAAAACAGTCAGTCTCTATCGAGTTGTAATTACATGCTGCAAATTATTGCTTTAAATTGCCATTAAACTTTGCTTAAGTTCCCCATCTCGATTCTTCTCCTTTTTCCTTAAGAATACAAAATTATCAAAATGACTTCAGTACTTTATATATACATAAATGTTTACATGCATTCATATGGAAGGAGATAAAAGAAAATGCCAAAAATATGAAACAATATTTGTAAAATATGTGTAAAAATGATATAAATAAGACAAATAAAATTATAAATAAGACAAATAAAGTAAATTTCCTGGGAAAAACCTGTTCTTTTCCATAAAACTAAAATGCTTGGCCAAGTTCAGTGGCAATTTTGCTTGGTTACAAAGTACCAATAAAAGTCATAAAAAAATAGTTTTTCCGTTTGGTGTCTTATCATGCCTAAGGCACCAAGTGAACCAGGACGGCAACTGTTGCTCCATCAAAAAAGAAGAAAAAAAGAGGTATGCTCACTATAAGTGCATACGTTAAAAAAAGCTTTGCTTGCTAACAAAAGAAAAAGAGAAAATGTGAATTAAACCCATGTTGTGTGAATAGAATCTAAATTAAGTATGTCAGTGTCATAAAATCATATAAAAACTACATAATAAATGATAAAGCTTACAATATTTGATAAAACCCTTATATACGAAAGGAAAAAATGAAATCGCATCATATGACCCCTTTAAATCTGCAACATTATGGATTGCATGTTGAGTTTGTTTTTGACGATTATCTGTTGAGACTGTGGGAACAGAAGGTTATTTTCGTTTTCGGATTTGTGGGCGTCAAGCTATCGCTCTCTGTTTATCAGTCTCATCGCACATAGCGGGTGGTATCACTAACACTATCCTCTTCGAGAGCGAGAGGAGCTAAAATCCTATAGCAGCCAATAGAGTCTCTGGAGCCTGACAGAACCTCATTGGCATCCATAGACTTTGACAGCCTCTCATAAGCTCGAGTCAAGAGAAGCCAGAAGCACGCATCCACACCCTCCATTCCCCCGGCACACACCCTCGACAGTCAGGCCTGCCGAAACCAAAGCTTTAAGGCAGGGATTAGTCTGCATAGAGAGGCTCAAAAACAATGAGTGTGCAGCAGACAGTTTAATAGGACAACTGGGACTTCACAGGCAGTCTGACTTGGGGAGACAGCCTGGCTAAAATGCATTGCAGCCATCCGACTCAAGCCTAGAGCAAGCATTGTGCTGCGAACTCAACCAGAATATTCTCTACACCCCTGGGAGCTAAAGATCACGTATAGCCCAGGCTAATATTCAATCCCTGTCGAATGCTCATCAGTATAGCGAGAGGACGCTAACTTTAGGGCCTAATCTGCCTGTAGGACTCGAAGAATGAATCATACAAATACATTTTCCCTTTGTTTTGCAATGGAGTTTTATGTTCTGGATGTCTTAAAAGGATAGTTCACCCAATAAATAAATATTCTGTCATCATTTACTCAACATCATGTCTTTCAAAACCTGTAAGAAACCTGTCATTTTTTTTGTGGAATAAAAAAGATGGTATTTATATGGATGTCCAAACTGTTCTTATCTATACAATGAAAGCTGTTATATGGATTGCAATATAGCACAAGTCGTTTTGAAGAGTTGCATTTTATCTGACTTTTCTTCCTTTTTGTAGCTTGACAGCTCTTGGTCATCATTTACATTTATTTTATGAAAAAGAGAAGGGTGAACATTTTTCAAAATGCCTCAACAGAAGAAAAAAAGTCTAACGACTTTGGAATCACACGAGGGTGAGTAAATGATGACGTGTTTTCATTTTTGGGTGAGCTGTTCCTTTGAGCCTCATAAATACTGCAAATAACAAAAAGTATGAGTATATAAAGTTCTTCCTCTTTTTGCTCACCATTCTTCTTTTTGATTTACTCTTTACTCCATTACTCTTGCATTTCTTCATGCACATTTTTTATTTGTTATGCACAGAGTGCCCTTGGGTTGGGTGGGAAAGACACTAAATACTAACTAACTAACTAACTAACTAAATAGTGGCGTTCAAACATCAATATTACTATTGCTCATACATATAGAGGTTTAATGGAGTTTTGCAATTGGGTGTGTAACTTTTAACTGTACAATTAAATTGTATAGCTGGTTAAGGAGAGTTGTGCTATTTCATATCTAAGCAATCAGACATAAATAAATATATGTAAATAATATGTAAATAAAAATGAATAAAAGGTATGTTGTGATTGTTAACAAACTAAAACTAGACTAAAAAACAAATAAAATAAAATACAAAAAGTAGATGAAAATGAAACTTACACAAAAAATAAAAACAAGTGTAGGCTGAAATATTAAAATACAAAAAACTAAAACTAAAATAAATGTATATATATAAAAAAAATCATAAAAGCACACAACAAAATTGCTAAAATGTAAACTTGAATTAAATTGCATACTCAACATATTAAGAAATACTATAATAGTATATAAATAATATTAAAACAATACTGGTAACTAGGGACCAGAATAAGTTAAATATCATGGAGACTGGTGATTACTTGAGCCAGTAAGCAACCATCTAGAAACCATCCTGAACAACCTAGCAACATGCCCTGGCAACCAACCACTACACCTTGACAGTGTTCAAGCAAATTTTGCATAGATGAGCACAACTCACAGACTTCAGAATATGTAAAATTGTAGTTATTTATTATTATTGTCAAAAAAAAAAAAGAGAAATGATCATGCCAAAAAGTCAAAAATCACAGTGAGCTGTTGCATGTGCATTCAAATAACAAATGATGAATGACAACAGCATGAGGTGCACATTTTCCTCTCTCTCTCTCTCTCTCTCCCTCTGAAAACGTTTGCATCTGGTCCTGGAACGAAAGCTGATGTACCTGCAGAAGAGAGCCAACAACAAAAGCTGACAATTCCCACCCTCGGGCAACCACGACTGACAGGACAACACAAAGAGATGAGCTAGATGAAGGTGACATTGTTACTGAAGATATCTAGTTCTTCTTTATGCAACAGAAGGCTCCGGATTCACACTGTGGCAGAACTGGACCACAGACACTAGCTTAATCGGCTCAGAAGAAAAGATTTTGTGTTTGGGGTTCTGACTGAGACCGAGCATTAGACATGAGCCAGAGACATTAAAAAACCCCAGACTGGATTGGGTGGCAGTGCCGGAGCATAATGTGGCCATATAATTTCCTCACAATGTCTGCACCGCCGTCTGGACTGCCACAGCATCACCCCATTTCGCTTACAGACACAGAGGGTTATCGAAACTGGGAGTCTGGGACTTCCAATTGAAATCACTCAAGAGCTTTTCAACAGTTCTGTAATGTAAAAGAGATGGAGACCTGTAATGAGAGCTCTCATTTCACGCAGTCGTGCCACTTTAAAATTTGTGAGCAATGACCCCTCCATAATAAAAAGCAATTTCTCACAACCTTCATAATGGGCCTTTGCTCAAATGAGAATATGAGGAGAAAGTGCTAGACCTCTCATTTTGTTACAGGGGTGGGTGAAAAAGGGAGAGACTCGATTAGAAGAGACAGAACGATCGTATGAGAGAAACAAAGACTAAAAGGTGTCAGGGAAAAAGCTGCTAATGCACACAATTAAGGGATCCATCAAACGGCCCCATTTCTCCAAGAAACTTTGAGTACATTTACGGTCTTTGCCTTCAAACACAAAATTGTGTCCTTGACAAAAACATTATAATAAACGTGCTGACGCTCCCTGAGAAGGAGAGCGAGGAGATAAACTTAGGCCAGGTGAACATTGCATACACCGCATCAATGACTATTCCTCATTTACGAGTCACGCTCAGATCGGAAAAGCTCTGTTCTTCTGCTTAATCCACTTCGCTCAATACCTTCATTTGATCATAATGTCAGAAGAAGGCCTAATCCGCGCTTTGGCATTCGCGACGCATCTAATGTTGTTTGCTAATGCGCCTGGGATGCGAATCTAAACGAGCCCCTCCAGGGACTCATAAAATGAGAAAACAAGCGGCAAAACAAACAAGAGCAAGATTGATTGAAAGCAATAAGGTGTATTATGAGGCCCTCAAGACGTCACATCTGTGACTGATTGGTGTTGATGTGAAAAAAACCACCAACAGCATTCCTAATTAGTGGTTACATTACCTTCACATTGATCTTGATGGGAAGAGGAATGCCTTCTTTGAGGTCTTTGGTTTTCTCATTGAAGTCTTTGCAGAAGGTCCCGATGGGAATCCCTTTCTGGAAAAGAAGGAATAGGAAAAACATTCAGAGAGGTTTAGACCACACACATTTTAGCCTGTTATTCATTGTGGCATTCTTTTGATGAATACCAATAGCCATTTAGAGTGGCTGCATGGTGTCAATCATTCGATAACTCATTGGTGCACTGTGAATGCCTCGGCATGCTTGGATGCCTGCGTGAGTGAGTGAGAAAGCAAACGGGAGAGGCTAGTGGAAGCCTATTTACCCAAGGATGTGAGTATATGTGTATGTGTATGTGTATGTGTGTGTGTGTGTGTGTGTGTGTGAGAGTGTGTATGTCAGAGTATGGCAGTCATCATGCCTCTGAGACTCCAGATAAATTAGATTCTCTTTCTTGGCCCTTGCCAGGCAGAAAGCTAAATGTATAGCTGACATTAAGTCAACATTGGCTGCCATTTCTCCTGTGCGGCTTCACCAGAGCATGAGTGTTTTCTGTGGGTTGACTGCAGAGGCGGCTGCTAATCTGTAATCTTATTACAGTTGTAAAAGTTTTCCGTGCACTTGAACTTTGCAAAGGATCCACAGTGACCGGAACAATTGTTTTATCATGTGGTAGATGTTACAGAGCTTTATTTAACAGTCAGAACTATTAGGAAAGGGTTGCTAATGCAGTTTCAATCACCCTCAGTTCATCCACTGACTGTTTGATGAATATTACACTGACAAATGCCAAGAACTGGCAAGTGAGTGGCATCAGATCTTTGAAACACCTACTAGCATGTAAAAAAATATATAAATAATCAGAATTGTATTAGTGAATGTTTCAGAGTTGTGTCAGTGAAATAATAGGTACCAATTACTATTGGATGGACATAAATTCTGATTTCTAAGTCATATTACATACACTATCGTTTCAACATTTGGGGTCATGTAATTAAAAGACATCTTTCATGCATGTGAAGGCTGCATTTATTTGATCAAAATACAGTAAAAAGGAATATTGTGAAATGTTATAACAATTTAAAATAATATTTTAAAATGTAATTTATTCCTGTGACGGTAAAGCTGCATTTTAAGCATCATTACTTCAGTCTTCAGTGTCACATGATCCTTCAGAAATCATTCCAATATGCTGATTTAGTGCTCAAGAAACATTTATTATTATTATCAATGCTAAAAAACTGTTTAATATTGTACTGTTTAATATTTTTGTGGATACATGATACATTTTTTTTTTGATGAATAGAAAGTAAAAAAAAAAATTTTTTTTTTAAATGTCTTTATAAACTTTATGAACTCTTTATGAACTTTCTAAATACTTTTACTGTCACTTTTGATCATTTTTTTTGCTGTTTAAAGAAATGTTAATTTCTTTAAAAAATCTTACTTAATCTTAATCTTATTATTTGATTTGAATTATTCTTCATACTACTGAGGTATCAACCAGGGTTGTGTGGCATTCAGAAATAATTTGGGAAGTACAATTTACATGAATTGAAACTCAAAGAAATGAATTTAAATAGAATTTTAAACTAAGCAAAGTTAACATGACTCGATTAACTGAAATGAAATTCTAAGTTTAGCACCAACTGTTATGTATTTCAGATAAACAAACTTCCTTAAACAGCATGTAAAAACAACATGAACTAAGCTTGGTCACTTTAGGTCAGTCAGACCTTTCCTGTCTAATGGCGCTTTTCCACTGCATGGTACGGCACGGTACGGCTCGGCACGGTTCACTTTTGGGGGGTTTTCCACTGGGTACAGTACCTGGTACCTGGTACTTTTTTTAGTACCACCTCGGTTGGGGTTCCAAGTGAACCGTACCGTTACCAAAACGTGACGTGTAAACTCTGCTGATCACGGATTGGCCGGAGGCCGTACCAAGCCGAGTCGTACCACGCAGTGGAAAAGCGCCATAAGTAGGCGGTTCTTGGACAAAATAAGCTGCAAAATATAACAGACTTTTTGACAAAGTCAAAGATACATCCCTTATGTGATATACGGCCAAGAGAAACAGCATATTTTGGCGCAAACTAAATTTGCAAAGAACTTCCTTCAAAGCATCATTTGATCCTATATAAATACTAATGCAATCTTTTCAGATTATTTAAAGCAAACACTGTCACACGAGAATAGCAAATATTTTCCCACAAAGCCAGTGGTATTACCGTTCAGCCAGTACGTTGCATAATAATCAAAAAAACTTCAACACTAATGAAATGAAAAACAAAAGCCCCGGATGGCAGGCAGCCCATCTCCCTCCTGACTTGCTTATTAATAGTAATCCCATGTCAACCCACTAGCATCTCCCCGAGCTCTGAATTCAGCGAGAACAACAGATCTAAGTAAACAAGAAAGGCGGCGGGTGATTCCTAATTAAATATGGATTAATGTGACTGATTGGTGTTGATGTGAAAAAAACCACCAACAGCATTCCTAATTAGTGGTTACATTACCTTCACATTGATCTTGATGGGAAGAGGAATGCCTTCCTTGAGCTCTTTGGTTTTCTCATTGAAATCTTTGCAGAAGGCCCCAATGGGAATTCCTTTCTGGAAAAGAAGGCATAGGAAGAACATTCAGAAAGGTTTAGACCCACACCTATTTTAGCCCGTTGTTCACTGTGGCATTCTTTTGATGAATACCAATAGCCATTTAGAGTGGCTGCATGGTGTCAATCATTCGATAACTCATTGGTGCACTGTGAATGCCTCGGCATGCTTGGATGCCTGTGTGAGTGAGTGAGAAAGCGAATGAGAGAGGCTAGTGGAAGCCTATTTACCCAAGGGTCTGAGTATATGTGTGTGTGTGTGTGTGTGTGTACATGTCAGAGTATGGCAGTCATCATGCCTCTGAGACTCCAGATAAATTAGATTCTCTTTCCTGGCCCTTGCCAGGCAGAAAGCTAAATGTATAGCTGACATTAAGTCAACATTGGCTGCCATTTCTCCTGTGCGGCTTCACCAGAGCATGAGTGTTTTCTGTGGGTTGACTGCGGAGGCGGCTGCTAATCTGTAATCTTATTACAGTTGTAAAAGTTTTCCTTGCACTTGAAGGATCCATTGTGACTGAAACAATTGTTTTATCCTGTGGTAGATGTTACAGAGATTTATTTAACAGTCAGAACTATTAGGAAAGGGCTGCTAATGCAGTTTCGATGAGACACCACACTCACGGATCTGATCTCCCTCAGTTAATGCACTGACAGTTTGATGCATATGGCACTGATAAATGCCAAGAACTGGCAAATGAGTGGCATAAGATCTTTGAAGCATCTACTAGCAAATATATAAATATGTAATTGTAATAGTGGATGTTTCAGAGTTATGTCTGTTAAAGCAATAAGCCCCAAGAAGCCGTGGTTTACAGTGAATTTATAAATAAATTCACTGTAAACCACGGCTTCACGGGGCTTATTGCTTTTATAAAACGATTATTCCATATACGTAGTAAGGTTTCACAAAATAAAACAGAGCAAATGAAGTGTAATGATGTTAATAAAAACATTATTCTTCCGCCAAACAATGTAGTTGCCGAGCAACACACAGGCGTAAACAAAGGTGTATGTTTGTAGAGCAATTTACAACAGCTTAGAACGCGGCTCAACCAATCAGAATCAAGGACCGGAACTATCCGTTTTATAAGAAATAATTTGTACTAATTACTATTAGATGGACATAAATTCTGATTTCTAAGTCATATTAACATACACTATCATTCCAACATTTGTGATCATGTAATTGAAAGATGTCTTTCAGGCGAAGGCTACATTTATTTGATCTAAATACAGTAAAAAGTAATACTGTGAAATATTATTACAATTTAAAACATGCTATTTTGAAATGTAATTTATTCTTGTGATGCAAAGCTGAATTTTCAGCATCATTACTCCAGTCTTCAGTGTCACATGATCTTTCAGAAATCATTCTAATATGCTGATTTAGTGCTCAAGAAACATTTATTATTATCATTGTTGAAAAATAGTTTAATACTGTATCGTTTAATATTTTTGTGGATACATGATAGATTTTTTCAGGATTATCTGATGAAAAGAAAGTTCAAAAATTTGAAAAAAAAAAATTTTTCTTAAACTTTATGAACTCTTTACTATCACTTTTGATCAATTTCATGCATTTTTGTTGTTTAAAGAAGTATTAATGTCTTTTAAAAAAAACCTACTGACCCCAAAGCAGTAGTGTATTTCACTAACTTTTCTGTATACATGATCACAGACTGCTGAGCAATTATATGACTTTTTTTCCCCCGAGGCATCAACCAGGGATTTGTGTCATTCAGAAATCATTAGAAATGTATATAAATGGAATTTTTAACTAAGCTAATGATGGGATTAACTGAAATGGAATTTTAAATTTTGCACTAACTGTTATGCATTTCAGATAAACAAACTTCCCTGAACAGCATGTTAAAACAAAATTAACCAAGCTTAGTCGCTTTAAATAGGCCAGTCAGACCTTTCCTGAGAGCAGGCGGTTCTTGGACAAAATAAGCTGCAAAATATAACAGACTTTTTGACAAAGTCAAAGATACATCCCTTATGTGATATACGGGCCAAGATAAACAGCACCTTTTGGCGCAAAGTAAATTTGTAAAGAACTTCCTTCAAAGCGCCGTTGATGTTTGAGCCTAACTTCTAAATAAATACTGATGCAATCTTTTCAGATCATTTAAAGCAAACACTGTCATGCGAGATTTCCCCTTAAATCCAGAGGTATTACTGTTCAGCCAGTACGTTGCATAATAATCAAAACATTTTCAACACTAATGAAATCAAAAACAAAACCCCCGTTGGCAGGCAGCCCATCTCCCTCCTGACTTGCTTATTAATAGTAATCCCATGTCAACCCACTAGCATCTCCCCGAGCTCTGAATTCAGCGAGAACAACAGATCTAAGTAAACAAGAAAGGCGGCGGGTGATTCCTAATTAAATATGGATTAATATTAAACTGAGGTTGTTAGGAGAGCCTCAAAAACCCTTGGGCTGCGATTCCACACCACTTTTACTTCGGTTTTTCCACCCGCTGCTTTATAACTCCCTTTAAAGTTGTTGTTTTTGGTCTGAAAGGAGTTCAAACAAGCAAAGCCACTTGGTTGAATGTAGAGGATAGCAGACAGATCTGTGAGGAAGAGGTCGTCTGATGATGGGGGGGAAGCAGGCGGGCAACAAGGATGAAAGGTTATGGTGGTGTACTGACATCAGACGCACAAGACATTCAAACTGTGCCAAACAAAGACGGGTACAATGGAAGAATCCACAGTAATTGCACTTTGTGTAGTGCTTTTAATATCATAAGTGAGGCCATTATAAAAATGGGAATCTGTTGTTGGTTGAAAAGACAAGGCTTGAAGATGAAGATTGCTCTGGCAATCTTTACAAAATAAAGCTTCGGATGGCCAAGACATTGTGCATTTAATGGCAGATAACATTCACTTTCGAGTGCAGGCCAAATTGCCAGTCTAGCTCTCTAAAAACCAAGATCTAATCATCCAGAAGTCAAGCAGTCCAATTAAACCTCATCTTTCCTCAATTGCGTCTGATAAAAGCAGGGCTGGGAAGAACAAAATGGTTGTAGTACATCACCTTGATGGAGGCGGCTACCAACCTTGGACACCGCACGTTATTTATTATCTCAGATGAATATTAAAAGTGTTTATCATATCAATATCCTCTAGGATAAAGCAGCCATTCACAGTGAAAAATCCTGAATGCTTTCAAAACAATCCTGCTTATAGATCAGTTTGTTATGAAATGTGTTCTTGGGAAACAAACAACTCTCTAACAGGGAGAATAATTTAATAACCAGAGTAAAAACCCCTTCATCTAATATATGTTGTGCATGGTATCTGCATCTGGATTGTATTTGTGATTCGCAAAACATCTCCTCCTTTATTCATTCTTTTCATCAGTTCTTCCGCTTTGCATTTGTTCATTATTATAATGTAAGCTTTCAGCTTCAGCAATTCTTTTTAACGAGATGGCCGCTGACATGGATGAATGACAAAAAGAGTGAGAACAGATTTAGAAAGTAACAGTTGTTTCAGAAGTAATAGATTGAGGGCCACATATATAAGCGTGTCTAATAATATTGCACACGCGTGTATATTTCCTGTGAGGACAGAGAAGAACAGTGTTACGTTCGAGTCATGTCCCCTATGAGAGCAATAATGAAGATCAATACTAACATTCAGGAGGTCCGTTTGACAAAGAAGGTGAAAGGCTTCAGAGCGCTGATGTATGGAGAGGCCATGGGGACCCGACCCGCATGAATAAAGAATGTATGTGTGAGGGCTGCGAGCTCATTCCATTAAAGAGAAGCAAAAGGAAAAGGAGCACGGTGGTGGGTTCAAGTGGTTCAATCACTTTAGAGCAAACCCTCTGAGGAGAAGGTATTAGAGGACAGTGTGACTTCCAACTAAGTGAAAACCTGCATAATTAAATGCATGAATAAGAAATTAAGCAAATTAAAATTGTTAACACATAAGGAAGGAACAGAACATTGCATGGGTCAGTTCAGAGGATAGAAGATGCTGGACAAAAGACTTCATCAGTAATGGGAATTGCTATATATATATATATAAAAAAAATTAAATTACAGCAAAATGAGGCACTTATTATGAGCAATTGTTATTGCGTAATTTATGCTTTATTCACCCTAATGCTGTTTTAAACTTGAGTAACTTTAGTGAAATCTGCAAAACACAAACTGAGAAGTTGTCCAAGGAATTAGAATGAAACGGAGCTGAAGTTTCAAGCTTCAAAAATCACACAAAAGGCCCATAAAAGTCATTAAAGCTGTGTTATATTAATATTATTTATATACTGTACTTTAATGGTGTCTATTAATATTTTGAATTAGCTTTTATTTGTATATTTTCCATTTTCATTTTAATTTTGGTTTTGGCAATTTTGTGTTTTTGCCATTTACACTTTTTTTTTTTATGTATGATGTATTTATTTTAAATCAGTTTTTAATATTTCCATTTAGCCTTATTTTTTTTTGTACATTTTTAGTACTTCTAACTTATTTCATTTCTGTTAGCTGCCAAAGCAAAAAGTTTTTCATTTAATATTTACACTATATTTCATTTCAGCTTTTTTTTTTCCAATTTACGTATACAATTTTTAAAATAGTTTTAGTTAACAATAATAACACCCCATTAAATTCCCATGTAGTCATCCAATAGCTTTGTGCGACTGACGGAACAAAATGTAACTCATAATTTCTCCTTTTCTGTTTGATGAAAGAAAGAAAGTCATACAGGTTGGGAACAACATGAGGATGAGCAGATCATGACAGAATGATGAATGAATTTTTACTGCAGACAATACAGATACAGACAATAAGAAACAAAAGGATATAAAGAGTAAAGAGTGAGATGAAGTGGGAGAGCATAACTACAGTTTCTTTCAGAGGGCTCTCTTAGCGTGGGATTTAGAGGACATGGCACTGCATGTTCCCTCCTTGTGTGCACTGATATGTAACGTTGAGTGAAACAGAAGTGCAAAAAAGGGCGTGTGTACACAAGCATGAC